TTGACAGGCAGTCGGCGTCATTGTGCTTCCGGCCGGACTTGTACACCACGGTCATGTCGAACTCCTGCAGTCGTAGGCTCCACCGGACGAGGCGTCCAGAGGGGTCCTTCAGATTCGCCAGCCAGCAGAGCGAGTGGTGGTCTGTGACCACGCGAAAAGAACTTCCATACAAATATGGGCGAAACTTTGTTATTGCCCATACGACAGCGAGGCACTCCTTTTCAGTCGTTGAATAGTTCCTCTCCGCGTTAGACAGCGTCCGACTTGCGTATGCGATAACTCGCTCTGCTCCGTCCTGCAGTTGGACTGGTACCGCACCCAGTCCGGTGTTACTGGCGTCGGTGTGGATCTCGGTTTCAGCAAACTAGTCGAAATGGCCAAGAATCGGGGCCGTCTGGAGTCTTCGTTTGAGCTCGTCGAATGACCTCTGGTGTTCTTCTCTCCACTCGAACCTTACGGCGTCCTTCGTGAGGTGTGTCAGCGGTGCGGATAGCTTGGCGAAGTCTCGAACAAAGCGCCTGTAGTAGGCACAGAGTCCGAGAAATCTTCTCACGGCCTTCTTGTCAGACGGCGGCGTAAATGCAGCTACGGCGCGGGTCTTCTCGGGGTTAGGTAGAACACCCTTGTTGTTCACGACGTGGCCAAGGAACTTTAGTTCCCCATAGGCGAACCGACACTTTGTTGGCTTGAGTGACAGGCCGGCGGTCTTGATGGCTTGAAGCACGGCTCGAAGTCGTCTGAGGTGTTCGTCGAAATCTCGTGAGAATACCACGACGTCGTCGAGGTAGACGAGGCAGCTCTGCCATTTCCGACCTTCCAGCACGGTGTCCATGACACGCTGGAAGGTGGCTGGCGCTGTACAAAGCCCGAACAGCATCACTTTGAATTCGTACAGTCCGTCGGGAGTGACGAAGGCAGTTTTTTCCCAGTCGTGTTCGTCGACTTCAATCTGCCAGTAGCCACTCTTCAGATCCATCGACGAAAAATATCGGGAGTGGCGCAGTCGGTCTAACGTATCGTCAATGCGGGGGAGCGGATAGACGTCCTTCTTCGTCACAGCGTTCAGTCGACGATAGTCCACGCAGAACCCGCAGGGTTCCGTCCTTCTTCTTTTACAAGGACGACTGGGGACGCCCATGGACTTCTTAAGGGTTGAATGATGTCGTCGTCGAGCATCTCCTGGACTTGATCTTGAATCACTTTCCTTTCCTTTAAGGAGACTCGATACGGCGACTGGTGGACAGGAAGTGCGTCGTCGTCGGTAACAGTGCGATGTTTCGCCATTGGTGTTTGGCGAATCTTCGATGTCGTGGCAAAACAGTCACTGTATTCGGCAAGGAGATCAGCCAGTTGCCGGCGCTTCGTAGCTGGGAGCTCGGGGTCGATTTTGAGCGGCGGCGGCGTCGTGCTCTTCTGCTGTGGCGACGAGGTTTCCTCGGAGATTGCGGTGACCACGGCTGGCGCCTGAAGCTCCTCGACGTGGGCCGCGGTGGTACCCTTCGTTAGGTGCTGCGGCTCCTCTCGAAAGTTCGTCACAAGAACAGTTGTACGTCTTTCTTGGAGATCCGTTACGCCTCTTGCGACACCAATTCCTTTTTCGAGGAGCAGTTGGACGCTGCCTTTCAGAAGAGCTTCACCGTGCATGGCTGCGTCGGTTATAACGGTGACGAAAACACTCGACCGCGGCGGCAGGTTCACATGGTCGGCAATAACTCGGATCGCGGTCGACGTCGTTTTGGTCTCCACCGTCGGCAAAACAGGTTTTCGTAGCGTCAACTGGTTTGCCCCGAGGTCGATGACGGCGCCATACTCGCAGAGAAAGTCCATTCCGAGGATAACGTCCCTCGAACAGTCTTGCAGAACGACGAACTTCACAGGGCACGTTTCACCGTGGATCTCGACGCGAGCAGTGCATCTCCCGACCGGCGTGATGAGATGTCCTCCGGCGTGGGTCGTTTGGGTGGAACCCACGCAGGACCATTTGCCGGTAAAGACAACGGCGGTAGATATGGTCGGCCTCCCCGCAGTGGTAGCAGATGGTTCGTCGATCCGCTGTCCTCCACACGTCGGTTTTCCTTGGCGCCGGCTGTTCTCGGCGGTCGTACTGATGTACTTCGTCGTTGCGTCAGGGGTACGCCTGCGTTGGTGGGTCTCGTCGTGGCGCCACCGGGTAATGTTGAGCAGTTGGCGGCGGTCGTCGGGCCACTGCGGCGTAGGTCACTGTCGGCTCATCGGCTGCGGCCACGCTGGCAGGAGTCTCCGGTTGAATTGCCCGCTGAACTTCTTCGCGTACCACTCCGGCTATCGACAGCGAAGCCGGCTGGTTGGCAGCAGGCAGCAGCTTCCTGAGCTCTTCCCGGGCGACGTCGCGGACAATTGCCCGGAGAGTATCAGCGCTGATGCCGCTTTCGTCGAATCGGGAAGACGTCAGCGTCGAAGCAGCAGGCGTGCCGGCGAGTCGGTTGTAGTGGGTGGCTCGGACTGACAGGGCCCGCTCGATGTTAGATGCCTCGGCGACGAATTCATCGACAGTAGTTGGTAGGTTGCGATCAAGGCCACCGAAGATGTCACTCCTCACTCCTTTCATCAGGACGCGCAGCTTATTCTCCTCGGTGGACAGAGGGTCGGCGCGGCTGCTCAGGCGGAGGACGTCTTCAACGAAGCTGGTGACCGTTTCGTTGGGCCCTTGAGTTCGTACTTGAAGGAGGTCTTCCGCGCGCTGTCGTCGTGTCTGGTTCGTGAATGTCTCCTTCAGGCCAGCGACACAGGTGTCCCACGACGTAAGCGACGCCTCGTGGTTCTCGAACCACTGCCTCGCGGTACCCTCCAAGGAGAAGTAGAGGTTTTGGAGGCGCTACTCAGTGGTCCATCCATTATGGCGTGCTGCACGTTCGTAGTGCTGAAGCCAGTCCTCTACGTCTTCGTGGGTCTCGCCATGGAAGGTCGTCGGAGTACGCTGGGCAACAGGCAGGTAGATGACGGCGGCGGCGGTCGGGGACTGCGATTGCTGGTCGTCCATCGTCGGCCTCGTTGGCTGCCTGGTCCTGGGTGGCAGAAGTCCGTATTCCGGGTGTAGACCTTGGGTGCGGCGACTGGTCCGAGTTTCAGGTTCCGCGTTGAGTGGTCTTCTCACCGGGCTTGGAATCGGGCTTGCACTGCGGGCCCTGGGAGGGGAACGCTGCACGGGCATGCGGTACCCCGCACCTCCACCAAAATGTCACGGGTGGTGACCAAAAACAATAAATAAACAGGAAGAAATAAACGTTTAATGTGGCGAACTTGTGCCAGAAATAAAAGGGTACAAAAGATAATAACAGAACGTCGCGGGCGTCGAAGTCGGCGTAGCAGCAGAGTCGAACGCTGGGGCGAAACTGACTCCGCTCGCCTTGCGGAATCCATTATGTACCCTCGTGGGCTTCTGGATCGTTCGGCGTAGAAGGTTCGGCGCGTAGAACATTCTGACCTCGAACAAGCCAACATGGTTCTCGAATTTACCAGAATATCACTTTACAGAGTCAACAAAAGTGTACCTCCGCGGCCAGGAATCAAACCCTCGCTTTCAGCGTGGAAAGCACGCGCGATAACCGTTAGACCACGAGCGCGCTGCCTTCTTGGTCAGCTGCGCTCGCGGCAACAATTTCTCCTTAGCTTGCTTCAAACTGATGTCGAAAGGCCTAACTAACCCTGAAATGGTTATATCGAATTTCCTTCGAAAATTCCACCTTCGGCGTAACCGAAAACAAGCCTGACTTATCGGTTCCCACAAGTACGGCTGCTTTTTCCTCCAATTCTTTCTTGGACGAACAAAGTTATTCCGGTGTGGAATGAGGTTCTAGCTTTCGCATAGCAAGAGTTTTAGAGGTAGAGGAGGAGGTGGTGGTCGCGACGTCTTTTGTGTTTTTGTGGTGATCTCTTTGGGCTCAGTTGTGGAAAGAGGGTTTTTGGCTTCTTCTCTTTTTGTTTTGCTTGGCCTCAGTGCCTTTTTAAGCAGTTTTTGCAAAATAAATTCTTCAGCTCTGTTTTAGACCTTTTAGTGTATGTGCCGTTTTTACAAGCAGTCTTGGGGGTGTTTTGTCGTGGTTAAAGAGAAACTTTCGTCCCCTGAGGCTTACATTTTTCTTATTGAAGGGCAGGTCTAAATCGGGGTTTTACGGTTTTTCCGATTTTGCTGAAATAGGCTCGGGGGTCAGTTTTATTGGGGTTTCGATATTTCCCGAAAACGCAGAACCCCTTACTCCTTCTAAACTGTCGTGTGCGTTGGTGTGCACGGTTTCTGTCGAGCGGGTTCTGTCGAACTTTCTTTAACAATATATATGCGTATAGTCTGTTGGCGAGTGAACGAGTGAGCCTCGTTCGTGAACAGTGCACGAATTAGTGGAGCATGCGGGATACTTGTGATGAGTTTTTTTTTTTTTTCTTAAGCGGCAGCCCGGTGATTTTTTAGCTACCGAAACTGAACACATCTTAGAAATACCTAGGCTTTGCTTTTTCCAGCATGCTACTTATTAGTATATCTAAATTTAAAATAGCTATTCAGAAAGCGGCAAATTGTTGCCAACATTAAACTTTTCCCGGGCTTTCCAGTGCAGTGACGTCACATGTCGTAGAACTTGCAAGTCATGCAGGCAGTCTATGAAACAGTATGTTGCGCGTGTTTGGTTTGTTTTGCTGGTGTGAGCTTAACCAGCATTCATTTCACACCATCAGACGCCATGTACCCCGTCGAGAACAATCTGTACCTCCGCCTTATTGTTCCGAATTACATCTGACGTCGAGTGTTTACTGTTGCAGTGGGGCCTTTCTGCAGCTTCTCAGACCGAATTTCAAAATGCAATAACTTTGCGAAGCAATTTATGAAGACTTATAATTTGGGTTAATAGTTCAGATAATTTGTTGAATAAATTTTGAGGCAAATCATTCACGATCAAAATTTCGCTGGCCTTAGGAGCTTTAAGTTCCCAAGATGAAAAATGCGCTAATCGATCACCTTAACTTTCCAGTGACGCTCGCATCGAATTCAGAGACCGTGAGCACGTCACCCCTGCTGCACCCGCACCAAGGATACCTGATGGCCAATGAAAAGGGACAGTACAAGAAGATCTGCATGGACGACTTCAACTCGACACTTCCCCTGTTTCGCCGCGACGTCATACTCAAAAATCTGGCGACAACCGCGTGTTCTATACTCAACCTGGGGTAGGTAGTACCTTCCGTTAGTTGTTACGATTGCGATTACAGTGTTCTGTTGCAGGCGTTTACTTTCCCGCAAACTCAAGCATGTTGTCGGCGGACAGTTCGTATAGTATAAACCTTTGTGCGTGTGTGTGTGCGTGTCTGTATGTGTGAGATTAGAAATAAAAACAACACATAAAAACGGACTGGAATCTTGAGGTTAAGTTTCTTCCTAATACATTCTTATTTTTAAAGATTAAAGTGAAGCGAGTGTGTTAGAGCTCAAACGGGGTTAATTTGCAGTCTCAAGTCGATGCCGTCGTCTGACAGATGACTTAGTGGATGTCCCTGAAACGTACTTGACAACTAAAGCTTGGATAGACCGATCTCACCGCAGGTTTCATTACGCCACCACTGCCGCCATCCATGGTGGGAACTGTAGCCTTTCTGCACGTGCGACGACCTCGCTGGAATTCTGAGCGCGAGGCAGCACGAGCTGTCTCGTGAACTGGCGCCTGCCTTCTATGAACTACAGTTCTGGCTGCGTAACGCATGCGTGGGACGCTTATAGTCGGTGACAAGTTAAGGCTGGTCACCTTCTCTCCAGCGTTCACTCTGCTAAAGTGGAAAGAGGTGGGAGGAGCTTCTACTTCACCCTTAACCTGACACAGAATATAGCGAGATCCGCCTATTGTAGCAGTTAGAAAAGAACCTGGTATTCTGTTTTTTTAAACAAAAACAAAACAAAATGGGCGCACCGAAAGCAACAGAAAATTCGCTTCAAAATTTTAATTTCAACAAAAATTGCTGGATATGCCTAAAGAGTGATTTGTCGAATATGCATTTGGTGGCAGGCCGTCGGTATGTTTGTCGGATAGTGTGCTAGAAAGGACAGAACGCAAGGTTTTACTGTCTTCTTCTCCAGCGCAGCAGCCACGCAACTTATATGTCGCACCCTATAACCGTTCCAGGCCACCTTCGAGAATGGAGTTGCACAGGGATGGGAACAGCAGCGACAGCTACCTGCAGCTGTTGGATCCCCAGTCCCCCGGACTAAGGTGACGCGGCGCAACGACGTAAACAAGAGCGAAAATGTGAAACAAACTCTGTCTCTTCTTGCAGGTTTTCATCGGCTCACTGCCAGACAAAGCTGGTGGTTTATCTGCAGTGCAGCCTCCAAGGTACCGTTTTACTTTATACAAAAATGGGATTACCAAATAGCAAAAAAAAATAATAAAATGGTTAATTAATTCTTAATCTTATAGTTTTAGCCTCCGATTATAACGTGTAACAAAGGTATCTTGGGAGATACTGACCACATTCTAATCTAATGGCGAATTCCACGGGTCGTTTTGGAGCGCGCCGGCGTCGATATTTCTGGAGTGCAGCTATTTCCCATGGCGATCGGGATCGAGACGGACGTGTTCCATTCGTCGGTTTGTATCAGCTCCCGCTCCAGATCTTGATCCGGATCCGAAAAAAGTCGCTTTGCTGATTTCGGCGAATTCGGCCTGAAGCCAGCCTGGCCAGCCTTCGGCGCGCACACGTGACTTTCTTTCTCGTCGGGCATATCGCCGCGGAAAATTTCGTAATGGCCGCTCGCGAAGTGCCGCCCCCTTTAGTGCTGCTGCTGCTGCTTGATTGCAACTCGTCGTCAAGTTGCTGGAGCAGCTCATCCAGCAGCAGCGGCTCGAGTGTAGTAGCGACGACGAGGATTGCTTGTATTTCCCGCGTGAATCCGACTCCCATTTCGGACCTCCGCAGAAGAGGCCAAAAATTGAGACCTACTTGGGGCACCGTTCACCAATATTCCGATGATGAGGCAAGTGAGCTACGCTGCTAAGTTGATGCACATCGCTTATCGACACGCATCTTTCACACCATGATTAACTTCGCTCGTGCGTTGAACACGTGTAGTTAGCGCCGCGATTGCGAAAACATGTGCTTCGAGATCCGGGACCGCGAAAAGGGAATTCCCGGGAAAGTGAATGACGGGAAGGCATCCACCGATCCCGGAGGAGTGGTCATGTTCCACGGGGATACGGATGCGGAGAGACTCCATTCGGATCGCGTTGCTCCATTTCGGACCTGGTCTACTGATGCCGGCGCGCTCCAAAACGACCAATGGAATAGGTGAGCGGCATTTGAGAACTTCCGGTTCCTTAGGAAATTTTCTTTAGCTGATTACAAACGACGACGATGATCCATAAACCTGTCTAAGCAGGGTTCTGAATACCAGTCTGCAGGTTTCAGAACATGCTTGCACAGGCTTGCAGCTCATTGTCGTCGTTTGTCAACAGTAAAACATAATTTGCTAAGGAACAAGTTCCCAAACGCCGCTCACCCATCGCCATAGGACGATTGCTAGTTTGATTGTCAAATCAACGAAATAATCTGTGAGTGCCGCTTGTAGCAGTGACCCCAAGTGCGTAGCGTACTATGTATTTCCTAGTCAGCCTATGAAGCGGGTATCCCAAGTAGATTATGACCACGGCGGCACAGATTGCGGCATGCGCCGATAAAAAGGCCAAAGAAGAGCGCTTCTTTTGTAGCTAGCCCAGAAAAGCTTACTACGTTCTTATCCCTACCGAAAAATGCGGTATAACTTTTCACTATCCGGATTATGGAACTGGGAATTTGTTTCTGGAAACCCGAAATCCAGGTTGCAGACAAAGAAATAATTGCTGAAAACCTAAATTCCAGGTAGAGTCCAGATAGAATCCAGATAGATTTCCGGTTCCATATTCCGGATAGCGAAAAGTTATACCGGATTTTTAGGTAGGGATCGGTGGCACAAAAGATGCCCAGAATCGCATTTCTTAAGCTGTCAGTCACCATCAAGCTTATGTTGCATGCGAAATTAGAGAAAGGCAAACCACGGCCTTCACATTAATCTGAAACATGTTGATATTCAAATAAAACCATGACGCCACAAAAAAGAAGCTTAAATAAATTGCCCTACTAATTACTCGTGAGACATTATGTCGTGCGTGTGCTTAGTTTTCGCGAGCAAATATTTTGAGGGCAGACGAAAATCCACATCGTCAGTTCAGAATTTGAATTTTCGGTCAAACGCGCCAAGTTCAGAATTCAAAGTGCAGAAATTCAAAATCCAGGTGAAGCTTTCTTTTTCAAAAACCTGTTCCCTCTGACACGCCGAAACTTTTTTTTTCATTGATTGCCGATTAAATGGGGTTTCGAAAAAAACACACAATACATTTTTCACACTAGAGTCGTTTACCTTCTTTTTTTAGCCATATATAAAGTCTAAACATAAGAAACCGACGCAAGGAGCTTGAGTGTGGCGGGCCCCGAAAAAGGTGGGCCCGTTGGGTGGTGTTCCCCTCCCCGTGCTCCCCGTGCACACGCGAAAGCTTATTAAATGCGCATTTTTTTCCGTTTGTGACTTTTTTTTTTTTAATTTTGTTAAGCAACAAATTCGGGTGCTTCGACTTGATCGTCAAAATGTTCGCGTCGTTCACATTGTCGGTTGTTCCTGTGTCAGACAGTTGATTCAGACCTGCCAACAATCTGCACGTGTCTTTTGGAAAGCGTTTGATTGGCAAAATAACTGCCTGGATGTTAGCGGCGCTTGCCTCAGCCCCGATCTGACTGACGCCTTGCAAAGCTCGATCTTATTGTAAGGAAAACAGTGTTACTTTCAGAATGCGGGAAGTCTTCGGCCACGCCCCCTCAGAACGCCACGGCCATGTACACGTCGAGACCCGGCCGGCACGGCGACTGGCCCTGGCACGTCATGTTGCTCCAAGACAGCAAGCATGTCTGCGACGGCACCTTGATCAGCAACAAATGGGTGCTCACCTCCAGCTCCTGTTTCAGAGGGTGAGTGCAGCACCGACACGAGCAATGGCACCGACTTTTGTCCAACCTGAGGCTCGACTAGTTCGTCGAACCTTCAACAAAATCCGACAAAGTTCGACTTATGAGCGGTGCTGCCTGGCACACACACACACACACACACACACACACAGGAGCACGCACGCACACACAAATTATAATTTCGAGGAAAATCGTTTGTACAGTGGTTTATTTTATATTTTATAAAATGAAAAGCGTTGTTTACACAATATGAAAGCAAACATGTACTTTTAATGCTTTAGTTAGATTATTAATTTGAAACAATCAACAATAAACTCTCCAAATATTGCACGTACCCCTCCTTCGCGAGGTGGCGTCAGCTGGTTCTCAATTTCTGCGCATGCGCAGAATACCTTAGCTTGAGTCTAACTTCATGTTGAACTTGTAGTTAAATGGCGGAAAACGTCAAACCTGGTCGAACTCGAACTTCGGTAGGTTCGCGCCATCCCTAACAGAAACTTGAGAATGCTAAGAAGGTAATGACCAGAGAACACCAAATGACCGGGACGAGGGTTCCTCTGCGTTGTCTGTCGTCCGCCTCTTTTCGAGTTTCGAAGGAGTCGTGACACGAGCATGAAGAAGTTGGATATTATTGTTCACAATTTTGGGGCCATGTAGTCACAAGAAAAGAACGGCGGGGTAGTCCTTTAGTCCTCCAGCACCAACTTACCACGGTTCGGCTCACCCAGGCACAAAATACCAAGTCACTGGGCTGTGCACCGCATGCGCGGCGTTCGAGATTCCTTGGTCACTGCGCATGCTCAGAACGTCTTCTACAACCCAGTACACAATTTATTGATCACTGCTTAAGAGGGCCTGGAGACGGCGGTCCGCAGTCGATGAGACTTGAAGGCCCGAAACCCAAAAAGCCATGAGAATTAAAGGGGCACGGAAACGAAATGACGTGGCTGCGAGCTCTCTACCTCTCGCCTCGAAATTGGCCAGCCAGAAGCGCAATGCGTATGCGCTCGTAACGTCAGGTGCCCCTTACGGCCAAGGGTACCGTAGTAGCGAGCTTTGCCGCTTGGTGGCGTCAACGCGTGACAATCTAGCTTAGATGTAATATCCGAGGATTGTACGCCACCTGGCCTATCCATAGCTTGCCTGTTATGACATTCGCGGCCATGCCTGTATTTTATGTCGGTGAGCGTTCGGTTCACCCTGTTACTTTCACCCCGCAGAAGTAGGACCTCGAGGGAACCAGTAAGTAGAAATAACCGTCAGTGCTATTCACAGCGCATCCGAGGAGGAGTGGTATGGTTGGCCTGGCAGAGGTCCCCGATAATCAGACCAAGCTCCTACCTGTCGCCTGCTAAGAACGGTGCTCTTGATGGTGTGGAACGCACGGTGCGATTCCGCTCAAGCCCGAGTTCCCTACGTAGTTACGCCTATACATTTCCTATGTCAATAAACTGGACAGAATATCAAATATAAAAAAACAATAACGAAAAAATGAGATCGCTCACGCGACCAAACATCGCGATATTTGGTCGCGTGCTTAAAGGGGCCATGAAACGAATTTTGGGTTGGGATGAATGATTTTAAATTGGGACTTTACTAATCGCATATCGTTTAGTTGGCCAAAAGAAAGAGGCTAGAAAGTCCAAAGCCAGCTTTTCGGTACGAACATTTGAATATATAGGGGACTATTTTGTACCTTCTTGCCTTCGAAAGCTCTCCGCCTTTTCACTATGATACATCCGCCGTACCAAAAGCGCGTCACGGGCGCCAAACTGACGTCAGCAGAGCCCAGCTCACGCATTGGACACGAGAACTGCGTCACTCGGGCGTATGCGCTCGTCAACAATCAATCCGTCGACGAATATTTGGATTCGCGTTCGTGGCCAATAAGTGCCCTGAGGGAACTTATTGTCACTGGGGAATGACAAGTTCTATGGTGTGCATAGGAAGCACGGTGGAACCTAGGAGTCATCACACCGGTGCCGAAGGAATGTCACGACCACGTGATTTCACAATTCGCATTTGAGTTGAGGATTAAAGCTAAGGAGGAAGAAGTAGGAAAATCGTTTCATGACCCCTTTAATAAGGACAAGCATGATTGTAATTTTAGGTTTTCTAGGATGATTAGGGCGCGTAGAATGAGTTCTCGCCATAAGAAGACAATATCAAAATACACTTTAAAGGCCCCTTCAGGGGTTCCCTGAACTCTCTAAAACACTTATTTAAGTGCCAAGGGTAGGGCTTCTCTGCCACGAAATAAACTTTCCGCGAAAAGAAAACAGAAATTGGCAAAATATTTACGTCGCGGGACAATTTTGACACCCCGACAGATAGATTTCTCTTTGAGGGTTGACGTATTACAATTACAGCATGTTGCGGAGCCCCTGCTAACACAAAACCAGTCTCACGGCGTCAATAACGTGGTAGCTGCTTTTGTTTTTGTTTTTAGAGGGGGGAGAGAGAAAGAGAGAGGAGGGGCTTAGTGCTCCTTCAAAGGTCGCATAGTCAAGAAGGACGTGCCCCTCAGAATCACAACAAAACACAGCTACATAACATCTCTGAAATAATTTAGAAAACATGAAGCTCGCCGAACCAATGAACGACCGCATGGTTTTTTCGCGTCCTCAAATAATTCTCCAGCTTTAATCGTCAGCTCAAAATAGCACGCAATGTAGAATCACTGATCGACGAGCGCTGCTTGTCCTTCCAGCCCCGACAACCATAACTGGGCAGTCCGTCTGGGCTCAGTGCGCAAGATGTCTGCCTCCCCGTTCGACGTGTACCTGAGGGCCATCCAGATCATCCATTCGCCGATGGTAAATGCTCAGCTCTCTTTGGTCCGTCTGGAAACGGAGGTCGAGGAATCCCACTACGTCAGGCCGTCCTGTCTTCCTGCGCCCAACCAGAGGACATCTGTCGGTGAAACCTGCGTCACCTTGGGATACGACCTGAAAGGCGAGTACTCTTCGCTGCGGTTCCCAGCTCAAGGATTAGCTGACAGCTTCAAAAACGCAGGGCATATCCTAACGATTTCCTTCACTCTTCTCGCTTCCTGATTCGGCCTTCTTATCGGCTAATACCTTACTGAGTGTGGATCAAGAGTTTTCGGGACTAACCACGCCCTGTGTTTTTTAAGCAGTGACTATAGTTCCGTTACGTCCAAGAGACAAAGCAAGTCGAAGCCTCTGTGGAAGAAGTGCGGAAGCAGCCTCCTGGACGTTTCCTAGAAGGCTTGGCTAATAGACTTCTTCCAAAACCGACGCACCCCATCGCGGCGAAATACCACGCACTCTGGGAACTAGTTGGCCACTCAGTTTCGGTTTCGAGTGAGCAGGTTCATCTCATGCTATCAAGCCGCGACCGAACGCGCTGATTGCGTTTTCGATTATCTGACATTTCACGAACGTACAACACACTCATTCTCGAGCGTTACAAAACGAAGACCGGGGCACTTTCCTTGGTTCCCGAAACACCGGATATTGTGCGTGCGTATGCAAACGTAGTAAGACGTGGATCACCTCACCCCACGACCCACGAGTGCATCTTTGAGCTCAATGTCAGTAATCCAGTCTAGTACCAGTGAACTACAACTGAAATTTGGTCATTTGAGCCCTACACGTATTTCGTTTGCCAAATGTCCGCCTCTTGTTACTTCATTGGGCGAAAAGCAAGCCGCATCTTCACAGGATTATCAAACTTGAGCCCGGCGTTGGCGGATGAACTTTCAGGGAAACGCAATAAATTCGACCTCACTACTGCACAAACGTTACTACGATGTCTTCCTCGAGTCATTACATATCTCACACTCAAATTTTATGCTGATAGAAGATTAAGTTTTCGCAAACACTGAGATCGGCTTGCTACGACGGAAGCCCTATACAAGCGTCCCCTACTCCTCGGTAAGCCTTTTTGGATGAGCTTTTCCTGACGCCCAAGATCTGTGCCTGACCGGTGTGTCTGAAATTATCTCGGCATACTCAACCAGGAATAAATCAAACACATAACAAATATTATAGCCATTAGCAACCGTCAAATGCGCTTTGAATAATTTCGTTCGTTTGGCGCACCGCATAGCGGTTCGTGCCCGTCCGGCGCACTTCCGGCGAACGGTGCGACATTCTTCAAACAAGTGCTCGACTTTTGCTTTCTTAAAACCCTTTGTATGTGCGAATGTGCCTATATGATTGGCAGGTTAACTTTATGCGCATATGCGATGTTGAATATTTGTTGGAATGCAAGCAGGTGGAAACTTCACATCGTGCAGTGCTGCGGGGTAGTGCAGATAAGAGATGAGAAGTGTGTTCAAATGGGACTTTTCAATGGCGCCTCCCAGTTTTACCTCGAGTACTCAGGCGTATTAAGAAAAAAAGTAATCGCAAAAAGTCACATTTCGTCTATGGACGCACGAAACAAACTTCCTGATCAACAATACTAATGTAAAGGTTCGAGCTCGATGCTGATTCGCACACAAGCAAGATCCCCGAGCTTCGCAGCGTCGAGATTCCCAGCACTGGCTCGTCCACATACCTCGAAACGCTAACAGAAAGGCTCAAGTACAAAAACATAACAAGCATGCGTTAAGACAAGCTATACGTCTCGGGACTTGTGCTAAAGCTTCGAGGTCTGGCCATTTAGGTTAGTTTAGAGACCACAAATGACGCTCTCGGGACCAGAGAGCATGAGATAACGGCCGTTAACAGTCCACGCTCTGTGTGTGACCTCTTGTCGACGTGTCGATTGAAACCGAAACCATGCCACTCTCCTCCCTGGCCAACTAGTTCCCAGGGTGCAACGCGCGCCGTGTTGCATGCAGGGCTTTATGGAAGTAGTCTATTGCGAAACTTCATCTGAAACTTCGAGACTTTTCAGGAGGTTCCTTTTCCATCAAAATTATTATGGCCACATAGAATTCTTGCAAAACCACGTGATGCTTTCAACGCAATTTTTTTTTTAAAGTGTTTGGCGCAATCGTGAACTATACGCCACATTGTAAAAATTTCAGGCATCTTTTACAAGAAGATAGATTAACGTTACCTTCAGATTACCCGCTTCAGGGAGTGGACCAGTGGCGTCGGAAGTGTTCGGGAGATGGACAATCGGAAGAAACGGGAGATGGCGTTGATCTTTCTTTCGCTACATTCATAGAGTTATTATAACATACGTTAGAGGTTCAACTGGCGCTCGTGTCTATGCGACTTCCGTGACGCAAATTCAAGCAGACAGCAATCAGTCTACTTTTGCGGTGCTCCTGTGCATTCCTATGGGAAAAGGCGCGTGCATTTTGTCTCTTCGCCGGAAAATAACATGGAACACCTCTGTTATTTCTGTCTTACCGGATAGTATGCACCTTTAGTGAAACCGTAAAAGTGTAATTGCTTTAGTGCATTTTTCTTCATCAGTGAACGATGTTTAACTTCGCCCTATTTCAGGCACAGAGATGTGTTCCACAATAGATGTATTTAAAACAAGCTACGATTCGAAGCAAAATAACAATCGAAAGGAATATAGAGTGTGTTAAAGGTTTGCTAGCATTCTGGTGACGCTTATATATTGCTAGTATGCCAGTCCTGTCACTATATAAAAATAACCCCGTCTTCTGATTAAAAACATTCAAGACTTAAAGAATAAAGTCCGTGGGCTATGAAAGGTGCCTCTTTTTATTGTTTTCTATACAGGCAGCATTTATCAGGCACTTCTTCTCAAATATTTTGAGCGTGCGGGTGATGTTTTCAACGTACAATAAGCATCTTCACGCAGAGCTGAAAGAAAATTGAAATGTATTACGTGGCCTTCAATTAATTTTGATCGAACATGCACAGGGAGTTTCTTGTCCAGTTCTACTGCGTAGTTCTGGCCGCCTCTCTTTGCTTTCCAGATGCCCTTCGTTCATTTGGCACGTATATCCCCCATCCTGAAAAGCACCGACATTTTCTCGCTAACAGTGTCCGACAGTGCATAAAAATGCATGTACGAAACCGTTTTAGCACCGTGCAATTTGAAAGGCCATTCGAAAAAAAAAAAAAAGAAAAACGCCGTTACTGATCAATAATTTTGTCTGCCTGACGGAGAAATGTACCAGGCTACCTAGTACGTATGAATTATTCGGCATATTTGCTCTTATAATCGAGCTCAAAAAGAAAATGCACTCGCCTTTTCCCATAGGAATGCATTACCGGAAGTCAATTGTCGACTGGTCGCTGTCTGCTTCAATTTGCGACAGCACACTAGCTCCAGTTGAACCTCCAGCGTACATTATAATAACTCGACGGCTCCATTAGTGCGGTTCGACAAACAGAATAGCTTTGGCAAGCTTGTAAGTAACTTGTGCTTACTCCACGAGCACCGAGAGACAGCAAGCCTGCCAAGGTACCTTCGCGTGCCTGCTTCACGCACTCGGAGTTTGTCGATCTCTGTTCTTTCTGTTTGTCGCTCAAGTGGGACTCGAGCATAACTGGTATATATGTAGACGGTGAGGCTGCTTACAAAGCGCGGCGAAACTTTCTGCAATGTGTCGCAGAGAAATGGTTGGATGTCGTCGGTGAGCCGCTCGAAGTAAGCTTGCAACCTCTACAGGCGACCAAATGGAGCAGCTGAACCTGGAAATCGTGACATTCACGGCCTGCTACAACTCTAGCCTTCCCGGCACCGGGAGCACCATCTGCGGGCGGCAACAAGAGTCAAGTCATAACTCAATATGTATGGTAAGCACATTCTTTCAAAGAGCCAAATGGGTCATGCACACACATGGGCGCGCACATCACACGCACGCATGAATGTGTGTGCACTCAGACAAACATGTATTAGCCAGAAGAAGAATGAGTGGCTCCACCTGACGGCTCCTCGTCGTGACGTAGGAGCAAAGGTCACGTGACCGCTTCTGCGCTTTTTTGGTAGCATGTAGGTTGAGGTTTAGCATTCACAATTCACGTTTATTTCGATATTTTGTACGAGAGTTTCGGGTTGCTTTTCATATAACTTTGTTATACTTCTCGTCAAAATTAAACTCAAGCAGCGTTACAACAGTGGCGTCGCAGCCTATGGAACAGAGGTTCCTGGGCATTTCACCAAACGCCTTTTCATAAAACGCCGTTTCATCAAAAAACTCCAAGTTGAAACTCAAGATGTATTAGAGAACGCCGTTACATCGAACTGCTGACGGCCGTTTCATCGATTTTTTTCAATCCCTATATTTATGGTATGGCGCATTATGAAAACACGTATATATGAGCCTCCCCTCGCGCAGGTATTTTGCTAGGTGATGGCAACTCTAACGTTTTCACCCATTCCTTTTCCGTGCCTTGAAAGTAGAAGCGCACTGCCTTCCGGTGAGAGGGCGTGGCTTTGACTTCAGATGAATCGTCGCCTTCGCACAAAAAAACCAGCTTGAAGAGAAAAGAAATGGGCGGGCGAGCTTGTAGTTATACATGGTGGAAAGCCTGACCATGGAGAAAAAAAATTTCGTCCTCCAAACTTTATTTTCTAAGGTTGGTAATCTAGACTTTTGAGATCTTGTAAAGCAGAAAAAAAAAATTGTAAACTTTTTAAAACAGGGAACCGAAAATATGTAGGCGGCAAATTCAAAATTAGAACAAAATTGCACTTCGCAAGCAGGAGGGTATGAAAAACATCACGCGTGATCATTGTTACATAGTTGAAGTTGCGGCTTCGTTGTTCTGCCTGCCATGCATTTGTCGTTAATACAAAAACACAATGAAACGTACTTCCTTTGTTACGGGATTCTAGCAGTCAAAATAAAGATAGGTAATTCAGGATGTGCAAGCTATTTCATTTCGAGCAAACCGTTGGATGAAACGGCGTTCGATGGGACGGTTTCTAGGAAACGGTTTCGATTCAATTGTGTTCGACACAACTACGTCCCATGAAAAGGCATTAGATGAAATGGCTACGGTGAAGCGGTGTTCGACAAAACTTCGTTCGATGAAATGTCCGGCCCCATGAAACAAGGCCCAGTGACCCAGCTTCTTATCAAACTGACCACGATTAAGTGGGCCGTAGTCGTGGCTTTGGAGGTTTGTCAACGGACCAAATAGGTAGATTCTGGGATAGCGTAGATCCCAATCGAGTTTTTTTTTTTTAGTAACTTTTTGGAAACAGACAAAGCTAACATATATCAATTATGTGGACGGCCGAGCTGGCGTCGAATTTGGCATTCCGATCGCCGGGTTTTTTCGCAGTTTTCTCAGGCGGCTTTGAGGCTGCCGTGGCCCGTGAAAGCCAATCGACTGTTGAAATATCAAGGGCGCAGGGAATCCCTATGAAATTACCTACTGCGGTGACTTTTCGGGCTCAAATACTGACGTGACGTTCAGCAAAATAAATGTTGGTCCTTTACCACGTAACTACCGAGACATGTTCTATAGCTCAATCCGTGCTGACGTCTGCACCGCCGTCACCTCGGAATAAGAGAAACACACGCGACAAATAAAGTGTACGTACCACACGAGGTGAGGGTATTTCATACCGTGTTCACCTCAGCTGTACGTCAAAGAAAGCAGAAAACTGAATCGACGAGGGCGTCACTGCCACGAGAGCAACCGTCACCACGGCACAGCACTTTGAAAATGACAAGGGGACGAGTAAGCAATAAGACTCACTATATAACTGGAAAATCTAGACCAAGATTCAAGCTATTTATACAGAAAGGGTCCACTGAATAAAAGAAAGGGGTCGTGCGAACATCTTCCATTCAACGAGGCTAGCGGTCGCGGGCAGCGAGTGATGAGCACCCCTGCTAGGCTTTGCCTGTTGAGTACGGCTACGGCCGCTCAAGTCGGTGGAATCATTTTCGTTGCTTCGGGAATCTCTGGATTGAGCTGCCTTCATCGATCATTGTAGTTTCGAGTACGGATTTCTTTTCTTCTGCAGCTTGAAGTCGTGATGCGCGCGAAAAGGATGTAGAAGTATGTTCGTTGGTCTCCACGGCGAAGTATCCGAGCGGTGTTGGCGGTCATGAAGCTATCGTAGGATTCCATCGTAACAAACCTTCCGATCGTTTCGCCTGGCGAATTTATATTTGTTTTTAGGTTTCGTCGTACACACATTTTGCGCCATAGCAAAAGCAAAATATAGCAAGCGAACAGTTTCTGCTGCTACGCGCGAAATTCCCCAGCCGAAGCAAGGCGGAGCGGAGAAAATACCTGGCCCCGTCACGTGATCCTTATCTCCACGACACCATCGATCGATCGCAGCGCTCCAATCGGTCCCGCTCGGGGCTAATACTTATGTTCGCGTACACGCAGACGGACACACATATTGGATTTTGATCCTGCCCATAAAAGCACGCACGCACGCACAAGCGCACTACTGGCTACAAGTTGAATTTGACTCCTAACAAGCAATAAAATAACGGCAGGCAACGAGGCGACAAAAGAAAACTGTTAAATTCACAAGAAAACTAGGATTTCATTAAAAAAAAAAACTACCTTTACCAATAAATTTGGGCAGCGTGGGTTGGCAATCAGCAGATATACATAAAAGGCACTCATAAAAGCGATAAACTTGGGTATGAAAGAAATATATTCGCGTGTTACAGAATTGGCTAGAGTGATCTCTTTTGGGAAATGCACTAAAGTCTAAAGTCACATTTTTTTTGTTTGTTTTCTTTTGGCAATCTACGTTTTTTTTTCGTTTTTTTAGGGGATACAGCACAGCGCCCAGCATTTTTCAAGAATTTTAGGATAAATATTCTTTCCCAAAAGTGAGAGCGGTATGCAAAACGACAACAATGAAAACCGACTTAACGGTTCAATCTAAGGCGGTGATGGAACCGTTTTTTCCTCTCGATTCTCGGGCTTTCACCCTCAGGTCTCAAAAATGCTGCCAAATACATTCACAGCAGAGCACATCTCACTCAGCAAAAGTCGAATGGCCATGGCGCGGACAGGTTTTGCGTAGTGGGAACGGCAGGACGCACCTCCCCTTCGGGGTGTGGTGCGTCCTACCGTCCTGCCTTTGAATTGGGGGGGGGGGGGGGGGGGGGGATGTCGCCATCTATTGCTGTGTACGCAAAAGCGCCAGTCCAGACAGCCGTCTCTGATGTTTCGGCGACCCCGTGATCTCGGTTCGCAGGCCACAGTCTCGGCGCCGCGTGACTGCGCGACAGCGTGGACAACGCAATACGCATTCCTTCTCTCGTACGCAGGGTGTCCAAAGCGCTCGGGGACGATATGGCACTGTAGGCGCGCTGTGTAATGAAAATGAGCCGAGTGGAATCCATTATTTCTCTACTTTGTTTCACCTCAAGTCCAGACGCAGCCGCCTCCACGTGCAAAGGGGCCCAATCAAACCGTAAATTGTAAAGTCACTGGGCCTTTCCCAAGCATGATTGGTTCAGCGATACTGGAACATGCACAGAAATATGGCGAACATTGTCTTGGAGTGCTTTGGACGCTGGTTGATTGGTCCCATCAGTGTCGGCTGCGTCCGGACTTAGGTTCAACGAAGTTTAGTGAAGCGTTTGGTGTTGCATTTGAAAGTTCTCTCCCTCGATGTGAACCTACAGAAACAGAAGATAACGCACGCGTTTTCGTTCTCTTCCACCGCCGTGACGGCGCCACCTTGATAATTGCCTAATTTTGTTGAATTTTTGGATACCGGCGTGCGGTTGTCTGTCACTACTGCATGATGCACGTGCGTCAAAGACCCCGGGCTAGCAGTCGTACTGCACTGGCTAAATTCCTCATCTAAACCGGATAACAATGGTGCCATGTTCTGGCAGACTGAACTCTCGCTGTATAAACAACTTACAAATCTTTTTAATTTGTGGGAAATCTGCATGAGTTCCAACTTGGTCAATATCCCCGGAACGCCTCTGCTCACATCCATAGAATTTAAGTTCTCAGTTAGTCACCACGTGCGCTTCGCTTTGACTTCCCCACTTTCCCCTAGCGCATCGACCCATTTTGGTGAAACGCGGCGGCGAACAGAAGCTTACCGGAGAAAATCTCGCCGCAAAATCACAAAATGCTAAAGAAAAACTAACCGGCCCTACACAGATGCGGAGAAAATTTAATTTACGAGTACTGCACATTCACTAAAACTAAAGAATGTTCACTGAAATACGTTTAGTTAAATGAAGTAATGGAGTATGTCCGGATGCCCTATATGCTTACGCCTATTCTACACCTTAATATCAGCGAAAGATAAAGTTTTTCGAGTATAATCTCATACACGGGTTGCACATGTGTTGCGTCACCCTTTGAAGCACGAATTGAGTACTCGTACGTGGTGCTTCGAATCCGCCGTGTACGTGGAAATAAGAGTGTTAAAAATGATGGAACACTGATGTCCCATTCGATTGGGTCGCACCACGCTCCTCTGCACTATTTTTCTGATTATACGTTTTATTCGTCCACCTCCTCGAGTTAGCTTTTCATTTATACACCAACTATTTCGCTTCGAGAAAAACCCATTAATTTGTCACCTACTATGCATTATTTAAAAAAGACATTGAAGACATCCGTGTTCGAATGCAGAAGCTAAATTCATAATGAAAAAAGTGGCGCCCAGCTGGCCTCTTGAACGAACTAAAATACTATGGACTCCAAACACCTACCGTCGTAGGTACCGTCTAACTAATTTAGTTTTTGCGTTACTTTCGTGTTACATATCTGGGGCAAATTGAAAGGCCAAACATGTGGCCTTTGTATTAATTTCGGGGCAATGGTATTAAGGTTATATAGCCCGCTGTATATGGTAGTTTTTGTTAATCTTCCAGTAAGTCGTCAGAAATGTGAGCACCAAACGATCTTTATGCCTGCTCCGATACTGGGCCCACTGAAGCTTTAAGGCGACTGTGCTTATAAGCATACATGGCATCTATCAGTCTCGCCAACTCCAGATTGCAAAGGAAAGTTCAGCTTGGAAACTAAATGAGTGATCTTTAAAGAAAACACTAAAATGAAAAAAAAAAATGAAAGGGCTTAACTGGGACACGTCTCTTTTTTTCTAAATTTTTCCACAAAACAAAAATAGTGCAATACTTACGGCCTTACACGCAATTTAGGCAGAGGTCACGGCCCGTTCTAAGCCCCACCCACAGATCAGGGCCCTGCCCATTACTACTGGATTGGCTTGGCTGCTCGACCGAACATGCTGGGAAGCCTATTGTCTCCATTTTCCCGACATCCGGTGCGTCTAGTCGGGAAGTCTGACACCACCTACTAGTCGTACGAGCAAACGCGCGGCAGCCTCCGGCAACGTCTGCTATTCGACCACCGTGTATCGTCGCCTGCAATGCCCAGACGCGGACATGAGAACTGTGCGTCGGCGTCCGTTTTCGCCCTCGTCCGTCTGCTATTCTGCCCCCGTCTAAAAACTTCTGCAACGTCTGCAAGACGCGACCATGAAAAGGGCGTTCTACCGTTCCATCGCGCACGAGCCACGCTCCAATACAAGCGTCTGTCAGTGTCTGTTGATGTGCGGTAAAAGCGACCAAAAGGACGAAAAAAAAGAAAATAGGCCGCATCTCCACGTGGTGAATGAGGTTGATTAAGGCGAAGCTCTGGTGGTGCTGATGATTCTGATTTTATTGTTCATAGGTAGTGCTAATAGTGCTGATTTTTTTTTGTATTGTTTATAGGGAGTGCTGAGTTCCGGGTTGCGTTTCGACTTCATTATTAGTGCTTTATGGTCGGTGAAATGGAGAGCGAGTGGTTCTTCTAGCGGATCAGCTTGGATACGCTAGAAGCCGTGAGAACGCGTCTCCACCGCGTAAGTCAACGGTCCATGTCAGAAAGAGAATGTGTGGTATGGATCGTGGTTATATACGCAGTTGAGCATTTGACCACAGCGCCCTCTCGTCTATAAACGTTGAGCCAATGCATGCAAAGTTTAACGCGATTATATACACACTTGACCGCAGCGCCCTCTCCTGTATAGACGTTGAGCGGCCACATGCAACGTTGGAGTTTAGCGTAGGGGTTAAGACGTCTGCCTCGGGAGCAAGCGGTCCTGAGTTCAAACCCCCGTGCGGGATTTTTTTTAATTATTATTGTTTATTATTAAGCGGGCCGATCCCGAAGGCAGTGCAGTCGATGTGAGCACGGACGGATGGACAAGGCTAGACCGTAAGGAGCTTCGCCCCTAAAATGAACAAAATGAATATGTAGTCCTTCCACCATGTTTTGTTCTTGTTATATGTTCACATGATATCTGCCAGCAAGGTGGGTGAGCATCAAGACGCACAGTTTACACTTGAACTGAAATGTTCGTATTAACAGGCCAGATGCACTGCAAAACTTGATAGCTACTTTCCTTGGCGGAATGGCGAGAACAAACCTGGACCAACTTGATGCGAAGCGAACCTCCAGCCAAATCGCTCGCAAATTCTTATCTGTGTAGGTATCTTCTCGGCTATTGAAACCATGGTGTCAGTCACAACGGTCGCACAATTCACAAAGCAGCAGGGCCACTTTTACGGGAACCAATATCTTTCTTCAGCATCAACACGCGCAAAGGAACAAATCAAGCTAGATCAATCTACAATAGCTGAACTGGGGCGCTAGGCTTAGGCCAGTCCCTCTACGAACCGAAGCCCCCGCACAGCGCCAACAGCGCTTCCGAAGGTGCGTACTTGCGACACTTGTTTGCTGCAAACTAGGTCGGTTGAGGAGATCTTCCTCTAAACACGTCGGTGAACGCAGAACGACTCGCACTTATAAAAATAGACGACCTCGACGAGCTGCTCTGGTTGATTACTCCGCAGACGCGGGCAGCCATGTTTGTTATCGTTTGAAACCGAAGCAAAAAGCAATTTCGGGATATATTTTTTTTTTCAAAACAATAATGACTCTATCTAAATTATCTGTTTTTTTAACGTAAACTATTTACTAATAAAATACTATTACGAAACGGAGATACAATTTTACAAACAACATTTCATACGTGAATCATCTCTCCAACCAATGAGAGCCGAGAGAAGGTGCTGAGTTTTGAAAGCACCCGGCGGTGCCTAGGGTAGGGCTACCCTCACCTAAATTTCGTCTAACGGCGTAAATATAGCAACAACAACAAAAAAATACTTGTAAAATTGTCAAGCCCTTCTTTTTTTTTCATTTCAATGTTTTTTTTAAGTTCGCCGAACAAACTTTTTCTCCCCTCGTTTCAGCACGAGTCGTTACCTGGTCGGCAACTCATGTGCTGGCGGGGCGACCGGTGGTACCTGTTCGGAGTGGGAAGCAGCATGAGCATGTGCAACGACCGCCCCGTGCCGCAGCACTTCCACACCATATCGTCGCACCTCCAGTGGATCTCCACTGTCATGGGTATCAAGAAGCCCTCCTAGTCCCGCCGACTCACCGCCTCTGACGTTACCTTGGCCTTTTGGAAAGCGCCCGGGAAATTAGCTGGAGTCCCGTCGAAGCCATGCTGGAGCCGTTCGGCTCTGCAGAAATCCGCGTCAGGAAGCCTGAAGCCGGAAATTGTCCGCTTCAAGCATATACTCGGCTGAGCGTACGCTCAACTAGGATAGTGCAACCACTTTCCAGATTAAGTGATACATGGTGGCTGCTTAACAAAACAAAACCCGAAGGCCGTTTTCGGAAACGCGGTCCTGGAGAAAAAAACAAAACAAACATTTTCGCCGTTTTTATTTCTTATAATTGTTTCCCGTAGAATTGTTTTCCCAGCTTTTAATGTGCTTTTGAACAAAACATCTGAGAAGGCATCGTAGCTCCGGGTCTGGGTGAAAGACTAGTTTTCGCTGGAATAAAAACTTCGCCCAGAGTTAGGATGTGAGACACAAATATGTGTACAATGTACATACCCGTTTCTAGAGTCACAAGCACATCATTAAAAGAAAACCCTCATTTCATATATTCAAAGGCTTCTTTTGACACAGAGCTAGCATCATGTTCACCTGCACAACAAGAGTCATCGTTTGTTTTTCTATTCTGTGATGTACTGATACAGTCGACTTTGGAAGGAGTGAACATAAAAAAGTCAGTAAATTACTTGCAGCACATTATGTAGGCTTCTTGCAAAAATATGTGACAGTTAACATGCCAGAATTTATTATATGTTACTTAGACGAATAGTTCTATCAAGAAAAGAAAAGTATAAACCATTATTTATTCCCTGTCGAAATATTCATTTGACTAGAGCTAGAATCTAAGTCTAGATGAATAATTTCCAGGTCGCAGCACAGCTTTCAAGGAAGGAAAATAGTATATCGCATAATAATTCGTGTGACTCACTTTTATGTGTCGAAGCATATTGACACTGCTAAGTCACAAATTACAAAGATATTTGTGACTAATGCAGTAAAAAAAGTGTACAAGAAAAATTAGAAAATTATATGATGCACATTTTCGAAAGAATGCACAGGTGGTGTAATGTATATATGTCATACGTTGAGCTCAGTGCACACTGTAATATATTGTAACATATTTTTAATACTAAAACCTGTAATAAAAGAAAGCCACAACTACTCAATGCGTTGCAGTGCAATTTCTTAAGGAACAAACCAAGATGCTTCTCTGTGAAGGAGAATCTACAATCTGGAAGTTTTTGTAAAGGTAAGAGTGCATCGCGTAATGCGCGATAGATAACTGCTTAGGCAAATGACTGCTCAAGGATAACTATAGGGTTAAATTCCATACATCATTGCCAATCTAATTCCCACATGAGAAGCGAGTGACCAATGCGTGGTTGGTCATAAATTGTGGCCATAAGTTCACATAGTAAGATCCAAGACTAAGCAGAATTATCAGACTACAACTTGAATCCTTAAAATCGCAACGGCTCATTTTTAACAATAATTCCTTCATACAAAATATTGCAAAAACATAATAAGCATTCGTGTCACGCAACTTTGTGCGTGACTAGAGTATTATGTAAATACTTTTTTCTAAAGACATAAAGATACACCAATCAAATGTGTACGAAAAGATGTATCGAGACATGATAAAAGAGTCCATGTAACCATGCTCGTTTTCTGCTTTTGAACCACGGTAACAAGAAATGTGGGCTCCTCGCGCATCGTTCCTACAATCAACCCCCCCCCCCCCCCCTTTGTGTAGTAAAGTATGTTTTATGTGCCTGGATAGGACACATTTTTTGCAAAATATGGTTTCCCCGAAATTTTTTTTTTCATTGGAATATCTGTCGCGAGGCACGTTTTGAGTTGGAAGTGACTCCGAAACGAACTTCTACGTTATCGACCTCGACATACGTATAACTTAGTTTCGGAATCGTCCAACTCAAGATAGGTCTCACGGCCCAACTATGCTGCTAATTATGTCGTGTAACACCTAAGGCTGTGGTGCAGAAGAGGAAAACAACTTTTAGTGGAAAGAACAGGCACAGAAGGGAACGTCATAGAAAGGAACGTTCCCTTCTGTCTATTCCTATGACTAAAAGTTTTTTTCCTTTTTTGCACCACAGCCTCAGGTGTTACACGACATGATTAGCTACCATCAGCTCGCTTCCGCACTTAGTCTGTTCACTATGGTACTAACACTCGTCTTTTTTCGGTGAAAAATAATTGTTTTATATCATCTAAAATCCACGCAAGCACTTAAAACATTTTCATTTTGAGAGCAGATCGGTATCCCTTTAAGATCAGTTTGACATTTTATAAAAATGTACATATTTTTCAAGAAAAAAAAAATAGAGCGCACTGGTAATGACAAGAATAAAGGGAAATCAAAAAATAAAAAAGGGACTCTGAACATTTAACCCTGTCCTCGTCCTGATCGTTGCTTTACGTTTATTCTTGTACACCGTTAAAACGCAAAACGAAAACATTTGTTTATGACAAGCATATCTTACAAGAGGTACCTCGCTCAGCGTACGAACTATGGGCTCCTTGCACTAACGTCATATTGCATACTTTTGAACACCATGTAAAAGGAGGAGAGGGAAGCTGCTTGTGTAAGAATTTTGAGTGGCAGGTTAATCTTCTATAATCTTCTGGGAGGAGAATAGCGACGTCCGTGCAAATCCGGGGGGCACAAAGGAGGATCCTGATAAGAGGGGAGCTCCTTCTTCCCCTTTTCCCTGGAGGGCATCGGAAATGACATCATGTGCAAGCCACGTATAGGCTCCTTGCACTGACGTCACATCGCACACATTTGAACACCAAGTAAAAGGAGGAGAGGGAAGCTGCTTTTGTGAGAATTTTGAGTGACAGGTTAATCTTCTATAATCTTCTGGGAGGAGAATGGCGACGCCTGTGCAAATCCGGGAGGCACAAAGGAGGATCCTGATAAGAAGGGAGCTCCTTCTTCCCCTCTTCTCTGGAGGGCAACGGAAATGACGTCCTGTGCAAGGAGCCTATACGTGGCTTGCACAGGACGTCATTTCCGTTGCCCTCCAGAGAAGAGGGGAAGAAGGAGCTCCCCTCTTATCAGGATCCTCCTTTGTGCCTCCCGGATAAGCACAGGCATAGCCTCCTCTATACGGAGAAAGCCTGGCACATCGACGACGGAGCCATAGAGCGCGCGGCCGCAGGAAAAAGGAGAGGAGGAGCGCGCCGAACGGTGACCAATATGGTAGCGCAGAGCAGGAAGGGCAGACCTAGACAGCGAGCGCTTGTGTCGTGAGCGGCCGCTCCCCGAACCACGCTTGTTTTTGTGTTTTCGTCACCGTCGTTTTTGTACTCCGGGAGAAACGGGCGCGGCGATTCGAAAGGGCGCAGGGAGAAACGGGAAAGGGTGGACGTTGAGTTTCTCCTCTCCACGATAGCGACAAGAGAAGAGAGAGAGAAAAAAAAAAAGATTGTTTCTGCGTTTGGCCGCTCGCTCTTTTGTGGCGCTAGCGAGCAAGGTTCTCTCCGCTCCCGTTTCTCCGCCCCTCCTTTCCCATTTACGGCGGCCGTCTTTTCACGCGACGCGCCAGGCTTTCTCCGTATAGAGGAGGCTATGGCACAGGCGTCGTCATTCTCCTCCTAGAAGATTATAGAAGATTAGCCTGTCACTCGAAATTCTTACAAAAGCAGCTTCCCTCTCCTCCTTTTACATGGTGTTCAAAAGTATGCAATATGACGTTAGTGCGAGGAGCCTATACGCAAAATTAGCTTTCTAGGCAACGGGAAGTATAAAACAATTAGCACAAAACCTTTATTTCAAAAGTGCTACCAGGGTCTTAGACTTCGTTTCACATCAGTTCTTGGAGATCCTTGGGGAGAAGACTATGAATAAGTTGTATGTTCGGTCTACTTTCAAATTGTTATAATGCAATTAATAACTATTCAATAAGTAGATAAGTCAATGAATAAAGAAATATTACATTCAAATAGTCATGATTCGTAAATTATAAAATAATTTCTATATAATATATAGTACGACATAATCATTAAACAAATAAGTTTTTGACACATGCTCATCAGAAGTACAAATTTTGCAACCATAATTGACTTAATAGCTGCATTAACGTGTTAAAGCATGTAAAAAGACATTAGTAATGGGGTATAATGAAGCAATGTGAATAGAACTTTACTTATGCAACTAGTCGCGAGCTAACCATATAATATTTCTGCTTATTTTTATCTCCATGTGTCTTGTATGCATCAAATGGAATAGGTACGGAAAAAAACATTTTTACGGCCTTTATTCTTCATTCGTTATTCATGAATCCAATCCGAAGTGTATATTTTTCGTTCTACGTATTCGACCTGTACGATTTCATGCTCTTGCCAAAGATTAATCACTTTACAGCAGATAATCACAAAGATATTGATATAAATATTTTGTGATAGAGTGAATGGTAGAGAAGATTTAAAAAAGAAGCCCAGGATTATTAACTCATTAGCATTGTACAGAAAAGCTGGTAGATAATGCATATACTCATTAATGTCGAATCACACCTTCAAACATACTAGCGAAACAAGTCTTTTCACATGACACATTTCAGAAACAACAACTGGAGAAAGAAGGTCTGTCTTATTGCTTAGAATATCTCAGTAATATATATATATATATTTTTTTTTTTATTGCTCCATAGCAGCGAAAATCCAAGAGCTATCTCTAGTGCTCTCTCCCATTTAAACAACTGAAGTCTTTGCACTGGCGGCGAGAAACTCGGCAGGCGTGGTATGCAGCGCGGACTCGAAGCCGAAACTCAGCCAAGGTCAACGGCAAAGGTGGAATTATTCAATGGAACAATATTACCGTAGACAAATACCGCGCTGCAAAGCTGTCATATGAGTAGCACATTGTAAGAAACGACCATTCCTTAAATTCAAATAAGTATCTTCTTGGGCATCCATTGTCACGACAAAAGTGCAAGCATTATACACGGAACCAAGAACAGTCGCATAGCAACCAGCTACTACATCTCGAGCAG